ACATACGCGATTCAATTCGATCCATATTGAATGTGATGTGACAATACCCACGTTGATGATGCAAAAAGTGAATGATTCAGATTGAGAATCATCCTGAGCGATGAACGCTCAATGTGAAATATATTAGTATGTCAATACAGGCAAATTACTCGCTTTTCATCATCGTTCTCTCCCTTGCTGCCTCTCTCTGTCTCTGTCCTACGCTCACTCGCTCGCTCGCTCATTCGCCATATTCGCACATGTATGCGTCGCTTGATTCTATAGATTTTTTTACGATTCAGTAAACATTTATTCTGGCATATACTGGTTGTCATTGGATGTGTTCCAACGAAAGCTATTTGTGAAACAGGCAGCTATCATCATGCTCACCGTTGTTCGTTGTATTGCCCGTTGTTCGCAATATATTCTGGCTCGGCACAACACATCATATCACAGCACACAGCATTTTGTGCTGAACTTATTGAGTCTGTGTGTCAATGGTAAAGTTGATCGTAACACGGCATTTATTAATAATTAACCAACCGCATTAAAGTATCTGCGGCATGGCATTCACCATTCTACATATATTTCAGCGTCAGAGCCTAAAAGTTCGTTAAAAGTAGTTGAGCCACAAACTCTTGAATTATTGATGTGTGTTACTGAAGACTCCGGCTTGTTGACAGAGCCATCGAAAATAATAAATTTTGCATTGGTATGGGTTGATTCATCAGATAGAATCGATGATTTATTTGCGTGGAGGGTTCAATTCGTTCAAATCGATCCAATTTTAGTGTTCAGTGTGTGCGGATGTGTATACGGGCAATCTTTTGTGAATACTCAGGAAAATTAGCAACTAAAACTCAAATCATACATTCACTGCGACCGATTTCTATGACCATTGTATTCCCATTTCATCGGCTGAGAAAAACAGAGAGAAAGAGAGAGAAAGGTACAGCGAGAGGATGAGTTCTATGCGAAAATTTTGTCAGTGTCGTGTCATGTCATGAAGTTCATATCGGTGAGAACATCCATCGGATCAACATGGGTTTGATAGGTCGGATGGGTTGATTCAGTTCGGTTCGGCTGCCTCAAAATGCGCCATCCATTTCCATGAGATTATTCATATTTATAGCATGCAAAAAACGTCTGCTTGGCACAAACAATATCCATCAATAAATGTGTGAGAACCTGAGGTAGAAAGAGAGCAAATGCCCTACAGCGGATCGTTCATGCGTGCTTTGATATTTGTGTGTGAGTATGAGTGTATGTGTATGTGTATGTGTGTGTGTGTTTGGACATATGCAAGTTCCGCTTATTAAATTTAGAGCCCCCTTTTTCACATTGGCTTCGATCGAACAGAACCAACACGTATATATTTATGCTACATTTTTATTAGTGTGATTAGTTGCTTGACTTTTTGTCGCTCACTCCTGGTTCATTGCTATTTCTGTGAGTGTATTTTTGCCAGTAATTTCAATAGTTTTTGTGCACCCGATACTGCTGCTACCAATGTTTTGTTTTTCAACATTATAAACATATACACGAATGTTCGTGACTATCCCGTTTTTTCCCCTATAGAAAAACTGCCGAACAAACAATTGTTTACTGGGCAACTAATGTGTACAAGTAAAACTACAATCGACCCTTTTCATATGAGTTCAAGTAAATGAAATTTCATCCAGAACATGTATCGAAATGGTTTTTTTTTGTGTTGCATGCAACACACTCGTACATTTTCAGGCAATAAATACACACAACCAACCAACCAACCACCGCCCGCGCACACGTACACACACACCATGCCATCGACTTCCATAAAATGCAGTGAACGAATCAATTGCCAAGTTTGCAACTTTATTTCCAACTATCTGCGATCAATTTCACTTTGAGTTTGACTGTTGTGCGGTTCTGTTTTCAAAGTCTTTTCCATTTACACCATTCTTTTGAACTTGTAAAGGGAGGAAACTACTGGAAACATTATGGTAATTTATTTATTCTGGTGATGTTTGGCTTTTAAAGCACAAAAGCAACGCATAACAACAAAAACAACCACCACCACAACAACAGCAACAAAATAGAGAAACATTTCGACGTATGTTGACTTTCATTTTCTCATCGAAACCGAATCAAATGAATGCTAAACTTCATCAACGCAAAGCAAAGCACAGAAAGAAAAAAAACTTCATCACGATATCGCTGGGATCTCTGAAATAAAATTGCATTGTAATGTTGCGTCAACACAATACCACATGATTTGGCGCATTCTTTTTGTCATGTCCATAGAGGGAAAAAACAGCCATACACACATTTCCTTCATTTTGAATGTTGTTTCCATCGAATTCAGATTTACATGTGAAGCATACGTGGCATTGAATGTGTGTACCGTGCCTGCCCAATATAATGCATATGGGTTTGTGTGTGGGTTTGTGTATGGCTAAAAGTCGAGAAATCGAAACAATCTCGTCGTTCTTTAGAAAATTCGATTGAAAAGGCGACTCTATTTATCTATTGCTCAAGAGCTCCCAGATAATTTATGGCCGGTCTTTTGAGAGAAAGAAAAATATCTCCTTTTCATTTTCTTGCTTTCGTTCGTCCATCTCTCTTGAAAATGTGTTATTGAAATCCAACCGAATGGCAAAAAGACTCAGTTTCCATGTCGTCGTCGACGAAACACCCTATTGACATTTAGGAAATTCAAAGATATTTCCATTCAATTTTTCTTTCTCTTTCATATATTTGACATAAAATTTACATAGTTTTTTTGTTTGGTTGCTTATAATATAATTTCAATTTTTCCGTCTTCTTCTGGTTCTCTGTTCTCAGTTTTCGAATAATTTTTCATCACACAATGGCGAAACGATGGCAAACCAGCCAAACCAGCAAGCATTGAGATATGTTTCCACCGAGAATTGTTTTTCCCAGTTCGTGTTGCATGTTGAGCATTTTGTGAATGCCAACCATAAATTCATTCATACAAAAATACAAAAACTCAAGAATACAAACAGACACACAAGCACACATTTCTAGTGAGTTTCAAAGCCACAGCTCGACCTTTTTTGTTATGTGCGCACAATTGTGTGCTCCTTTTTATGTGACTGACTTGTAGCGTTGAAAAGACAATAAAGTGACATGCAAACCGCACTGCAACTTATTTTACATTCATGTTGTTGTTGATGTAATTGTTTTCTGAGAAAAAAAAAACACTTTTTGCCACAATTTCAAATTTCCTGATGCTCGAGATGCGTTGTAATCACAGCGATGGGATAGCAGGAGGAGAAGGATAGAAACATTGAGACAAATAGCATCCATTTGAAAGAAAGGGTTCAAATTTGATGTGTATGTGATGTGTCATTTGGCCTTTTCTCACACACATAAATTGTTTTCACCTTTTTTTCGCTCGTTTGTTGGCTCGCTTGCTCGCCCTGTCATCATATATGGAAATCGTAGTGTTTTTATTGCCATGATTTGGGTCCATTTCCACGCAACAATGGATACAATGGCAAAAGCTTGAAATTGTTTCTGCTACAACAATTCGAAAACGAGTTCTGAAAAACTTTCAATTCAATTGGTCCGTGTAAATTGCCTGTTTTTGTACTATTTGCACAACTTTTGTACATATAATTCGGTTGTTTTGTTGGTTTTTTTTTATCGCCCCATTGTCCAATCATTGGTTTGAGAGCCGCTCATCGCTGATAATTGAATACTAATTTCTAGCTGGGAAAATTGTGTTGATGCTGGCGGCGACGACAACAGCGACGGCGATAGGTCCAAATCGATTGTGTTTGCTGTTGTGGTTAGTTATTAATTTCGATTTCATTATATTGTTTGACCGGTGTGCGTTAGTTTGATTGACACATTAGGTAAACAATCAAAGTGCAGTGGAAAAAAGAATAAAAGAGGAATTAACGTTGGCTATCGATCAATCATTGTCGTGCATTTGTGACCAAGTAGCTGTGTGTTTGAATTTTTGTAATGACATTTTGATTGGATGTTTGCCATTTCAACACACTCGTTATGTGTGTGTGTGACGACTCATTCATTTGATTTAGATAATGATTTTTTTTTCTCTGTTTTTCCTCTTGCATTTGGCCCAAAGGTAATATTGTCTTTCGTCACTTACGGCCGATTTTTATCCATTACTTTATCATTCGCATAACTTTTTTTTCTTCTAGCTCTCCACCTCCACTCTTGTTGTGACGTATGATATATATATTTCTGCTCTTCTTTCAGTGATATGTTTTTTTTTGGTGACGCCTTTGCTCTCTCCCATTGAACTACGGATCTCAATATCAGATACAAGATTTATAATGGATTTCATTTTACTCTCGATATGATTTATTCATTCACCTTCCCCTCGGACAAACACACATAGATCGCTGCCAAATGATAAGAATGGCAACAATAAATCTTGACTGAACTAAAACGAACACGCCAACACCATCAAGTAACGAAGCAAAGAGAAGAAGAAGAAGAAATACGCAACAGAAATATTACAGAATTTTTTTGATAAATGCAATAAACGAAAGCGACAAACGAGAAAAAGCAAATCGAATTTGCTTCTGCGAAAAAGACAGATATGCGAAAATATGAAAAAGACACATTACGCTTTCTCCAATTGAACCAGAGTACTGTCGCATTTTTTTTATTCACATTTTTACGTGTTTTTTTTCTACTTCTTCTTCTTCTTCTTTTCTTGAGTCAGCATTCATTTTCGCACGTTCGTTGTATTTGTTGTTTATCTGCCTATTTCGGCTCTTCGCCAAATTCGATGAAATGGAAACTTTTCCCCCATTCGCTTTGGCAACCTCCTCACGAATCCCGAATCGAAAACGCGTTCTGTTCCAAATTGCAATAACAGCAGTAGCAGTAGCAGCAAGAGTTGAACTTACGCTAAATTCAATAAAAAGAACATTCCGAAAGCGAAATTGCGGAATTTTTCTCTTTTCTTTTTATCATTGATGTTAAAGTGAAAGAAAGAAATTGAAAGACTGTGACTTAAGGGATATACGTTCTGTACATACCGTTCCTTCATAGTATTCCGTTGCTAGCAGCTTAATGTCGAATTCAATATCCATATCCATAGTGGGTTGTTTAGTAAACATTTTGTATTGCACTTAATTGCTGATATATATATTTTGCTAGAGTCGTGTGTGTGTGTGTGTGTGATTTTTTTTCTTTGGTTTTGGAACGATGTCGTGGTTTGTCCGACACGTTGGCTGTTGACTTCGCTGCCGTGGCTGGTGATTCAATTCGATTCAATTGAATTGGATTCAATTCAATTTCGATCCAAACCAAAACTACGAGCAATATTTGCTGCTCACTTTTCTATTCATTAATTGTATTTACAAAATGAGCGCAAAATATTTGTGCTTCGTCCATGGAGTGAAAGTGGCCGTATGCGTTACAGTCGCAAACAAACGTTGATGATGGAAAAGACAGGGTGAAGAAACTGTTGATTTGTTGAATGTTGTGTATTTGCCCGCCGTGACTGTGTTTGTGTGTATTATTTGTTCAATTCGAATTGATTCCTTTCACATGCACCACGATTTTTCTTTTTTTCTTTTTCGACCAATATTCGCAGTGTGAGTGTTGTCATCCATCTAATGTTTGTGTGTGCCGTTTTTATTTACATTTTTACCCGTCAATTCCACGAAAGTCTCACACGCGTTTCACTCCATTTTATTCCTGCCACGAATTTTGATTTTCTTTGTTAGTCATCCTATCGTGTGCACACGAATTTGCCAAGCAAACGAACCGAAGCGAAGAAAATGAAGAGTAAAAAAAAAACGAACAACAATCAATGCAGAAGAAAACTTTCTCTCACAAAGAATAGGACGTCATGCGTTTTGTCATTTTCACACAAATACACACCACAGAAAACTCAAGCGAAACTCTCAAAACAGAGAGTAATTTGGAGTCTTTCGTTCTCTCTAGTCTACAAATAATAAACGCTTTTCATATTCCGTTTTTCTATTGTTCAACTGAGTCGAAATGCACAAAACACAAGTCACTTTTGTTAAATGAAAATATGAATTAAACAACATTTTCTAAGTTCAGCGTCAGAATACGAGCAGATGCTGTTCTTAGTACTGATGCTGCTGCTACCGTTGCCGTTGCTAATCACTTTATTTAATTTCGCACGAATATACTTTATGGGAGCATTTGCCTCTGTGTTGTTCCGCCAAAGTGTGTTCGTCTTTGGGTTTTTTTTACTTCTCTAACTCTATGAAATGGCACAACCAAAAGCGAACGACAATCAAAGTATAACTGGCTTCAAAATTGAAATGGCAAATCGTACGCGCAACAATTTTTAATGAAAATTTCAAATCGAACTGCTTCGGGGTTAGATTTTTCAGATTCCACTTTTTATTCACTTTCTCATTTTTCACTTTTCCATACAGAAAACCGCCACTTGGCAATGGGAATTCTTTAATTCACGCGGCGCGCACAAAACACAATCCGTACCATTACAGTGGACGAGGTAAAGCACACTGATTGCTATGTACTGAGAGATAAGCACGGTTATTCAAAAAAAAAAAAACCAAACCAATCCGAATGGTAACAGTGGATGAGCGAGGCAACGGCTCTGAGAACCTACGCAAAACGGAGAAAGAGAACATGACTGGAAATTATGATTTGCGCGTATGTGATGTAGCGAGTGGTGGGTTGATTGGAATGAAATAGAAAATACACGAACCAAAACAACCGACGACGTCGACACCGAAGCCAAAGCTTTTACACTCATACACAAATATTTTTCTTATCACTCATATAATGTTTTTTCGGTGCAACCGATATATTCGCTGCGACCGAAAGGGAAACACGGCACAGGATGGAAAGAGAGAGAGCGTGTGAGTGGAATCCGGAGAGCAAAGGACCCACTAGAAGCTTGCACGTATGAAATTTCAAGTGATGCTTCTGTTTGCCTTTAAAATACAAAAACAACATTTTTAAAGGCTAATTTAACGTCTAGCGATTCTCCGTACACGTTCGTCTGACGGTGTGTTTATGGGTTTTGATGTGTGAGCGCGTTGATACGCTTCGCAACTAGTGTGTATTGAGTGCTTTGAGCTTCACCATGAAACAACAACACACACACACATATATATACACACATACATACTTATGTCTACTGAAAACAGATACAACAGTCGCTCGGTTATCCATTTTCACACAGAAACAACTTGTTTTGTATTTTGATTTTTTTTTTTTTCATTTCGTCCAATTTGGAATAATTTATGGGACACTTGCTGTTTGTTGACATGCGCATTTCGTTTCATTCACGCTATCTCGCTCACCCATCGACAAGACTGTTGGTGCGGAATTTGTACGATTTGCTTCCAGTAAATAACACTTCCAGTCGATTGACGTTGTAGGGTTTTATTTGACTTTGAGCGGTGTGAAAACAATAAACAGACAAATTCTTTCATTCTAATGTTTTGCTTTAATCTACAAATGAAAACAACTACAGCTACATGCGTATTTTGATTATTTGAATTTCGTTCGCTTCATTCCGAGCATTCGTTTCGGGTTTCTTTTTTTGATCGAAAATAAGCTTCTCAATTATTATAATTGGTGATTCGAACGCTAACGTTGCGATTGCGGCAACGAAAACGGTTAGCATGTAATTTCCGATGAAAGCGTGGAAGGCAATCAGTTCACTGAAATAGGGGGAAGCCTTCATTGATGACATTACAACCATGACACACGGAAAATGCAGCAAATAAATTGAATAACAAAGCCTTGAAATCGGTTGCCACAGTGGATGCGATAAGAACCAATTGACTGGGCCACCAGAATTGTGTACGCATGAAAAAATGATGAAAATTAAGGCAATGGACCATGCAACTCGACTTAATGCATCATATAAACCGTAATCGAGAGAGTTGGCCGTTGAATCAACCTGTACAAGAGGGTAATTGGTGAAGATTACACCCGCCATTAACGCCAACGAAACCGTCCAAGCGAAGAAGTTGAGTGTCTGTGAAAAGAAATAACTCGTATTAAGCCCATCTATTTAAAATTTGCCAAGAAAATACCTTTGGAATACGAATTGATCTTTTTCTGGCCTCAACAAAGCCGTATCCAGCCATAACACCCATCAACCATGGTGAACATCGAATGTGTGTGGGATAATAGGCTTTTGCCATTTTCTCTTTCTTGAGACTGTGAAAAGCGTCGGCAAAATTAAAAATGAAATTAGTTGTAAATTTTTAAATATAAATGTGACAAAATCGGAAATAAATTCATACAAATTAAATTGATACATACAAACTACTTAGGTCATATTGTATGTGCACATAAATTGTGGCGCCGACACAACATAAGACCAGAAATGATAAGACATACAATGAATTTCTTCTGAACCGATACATCAAGTAGACGATGGCTGGCGATATGAAAAACAGTTGCATATCGACGGACAGATACCACGAATGGCCGAAACACTAGATACAATGGGAGCCAAAGCAACAGTTTTTACTTGAAAGCTAATCAGAAATACGAAAATAAATGAAAATAACTCACAATATCGCGAGGATTGGCGTAATTTTGCACATAGAGTAAAGTCGACCACCAATTTCGTTCGCATTTCGAGCCCAAAAAGTCCATCAAATCCGGCCACAGAGGTCCGTTGCCCAGGAATCGAACAAGTGACATTGACACAAGAAATGATATACCCAAAAGTGGTGTGAGTCTCAAATATCGATGGAAATACAAGAGTGGAACATTTATTCTTCCGTTTCTGGAATGCAAAAGATCAAAAGGATATGATGCATCTGATATGTACAGCACACACACACACACACACACACACACACACATGATTGCATTTCAAATCTTACGTTTTTTCCAGATGTTTTAGCATATTGATTGATACCAACAGACCGCTAAGCACGAAAAAAGTGTCAACCGAGATAGGCGCCGAAACAATAAACATGTTTTTGTATTTGGCCAAAAACTGAGAATGCAGAAATTCGAAGGAAATCAATTTGAGATTGATATTGACTATGAATCAGCGTATTTATCATTTACCGATGGGTAATCGGCCATATTTCGAATGGGTAGCAGTAAATACATGAGATACGTGTGACCAAGTACAACCCATTGTGTTGATATGGCACGGATTCCGTGCACACAATGCATCATGTCCGGTGACTTGGTCTTTTTATAGGAAAACAATTTCATTCCATTGGTGTAGAAGGAGAACGCCAGCAGTGCTTGAGATTTTTCGCCTGAAGTCATAAAACATAACGATTAACCGTCCACTCAATTAGATCAACGATCGGATGAGGCATGTGACTCATAGACTTACGATTATTTATGGTGTATAAAATGTCGTAGATGGTGCTCAGTATAATCAGACATAAAACTGTTCCTAATAAAGCACTTCAATTATGTGCAAAAGAGACGGGTTAATAAAATGAAGAGTGAGAAATCATTTGAAGTTTAGATACAATTAAACACTTACATTGTTACGATGTCGATGGTTTTCAATTCGAAATCATTCTCTTGAAATTGAACGGAGTTTCGGTTGAGTTGCACCGAAATGTTCTGAACTTTCTCATGAATAAGTTCATTGATGAGTGGTTCCAATAGATCTAGCGAGCATGGCACAGGCAAACAAATCCCAAACGTAATAGTCGGTCCCAATGAAGCGTCAGGCCTAAATGCATCGTGATTTAGATCATGGATCAAAAGAAAAAGTGACTACACAATTCACAACGATTAGATAATAATTACGTTGGCAGTGCCATACGAGGAGTAATTTTTGGTTCATCGACCGCTTGCAAGATAACATGATGTACTTTTGACTGATACGATTTCGACCGTGAAATTTCGCTCGAATTAAAGAATAAATGTCCCAAACAGTATTTCGTCTTATATGGATCGCCATAGCGATCGATATTTAAGCATTCAGAAAATGCTCCAAACTCATAAAAATTTCCATTCAAAATTCCAGACGGGATCTTTCCCCACGAATCGACAACTGAATTTGGCCAAAAAAAAAAACAGATGCAATGCACATAACATATTTGTGTTGAATAAAATATTCACCGAAAGAGAGTAAAAAAAATTACTTTTCATCGCCCATATTTCATTCTCAGTCAGCCCGTTTTTTATTTGATTAATTTCGATCGCACATTTTTCTGGGCTTTCTATCGATTGTTGGTCATCAAAAGCACTTGCTTTATTCGTAATATTAAAATAATTTCCTGAAAATAAATCATTTTTGACATGCTCAAAGTCAAATAAGTCCAAATTGGCTTGACACAACTTAATGCTGATCACAATAAATATAATATAAAACGCGCGAATATTCGCCATTTCCGTTATAGACACGCTTCTCTCGGAAGCTGGTATTAAACTAAATTAAATTCCAATCCCATTCAAAATGCAAGCCGTTGACAAACGATTCTCAATCAATCGATTTTGTTTATCAGGTGAAGCAATTGATGACGGAACTCCTCGACTTATCTATACCCAAAAAGAAATTGACACTGGTTTCAATTTCTTTTTGGATTGTTATCATTGCAACAGATAATTTTGAGTACTGCCTACTACATAGATAGTTCATCTGACGAAATGTCCATTCATAATGTACAGGCGATGAAAAACGAAAAAAAAAACAGTATACACCATATATTGCGTCATAACACACAATCGCCTGTTATTCTGAATCGGTTATTGTTCCCTTCAAAGTGTTTTGATAGTGATTAATAACACCAATCAACGATGTAGAAACTACACGTAGCTATTTAGATCAGTGTTGTTTTTGTTGTTTTCTTTCTTCTCTGACCGCGAACTATTTGTTGTACTCATCAATCAATCAAAGTCGATTTCATTGTTATTGTTGTAATACATTTTCGATGACATATTTTTCACTTTCTACATCAGATTAATTTTTATCAAACGCAACCAACAAGGAGCATTTTTGGTTTTTTGATTTCGAGTAGGAATGAATCAAATTTTTATTATTCCAATATTGCCCATTGTTATATTTTCAACAATGTTTACAAACTTTTCAAAAAAACGATTTTATCTCTTTATCGTTGAAGTGTATGAAATAGAGTGTTAATTGTTGTTTGCTTTCAGTAGCGTTGTAATAAATTTTCCAACGTGTCCAATCGGAAGTCGAATAAAGTGTTTGAAAAATGAAGAATTGCAACTCAAACTAGGCCATTCACAAGATTATACACTGAATCATAGATCGGATGAGACTTTCAACATTGACTGTGACAATAATTCATATTGTTTCTATAAGCTTAAATGCCTAGAGAACCTGATTGAAAGACGCAACGTCCCTTTCCATTGAAATCACACGATCACATAGTTCATTTCATTTTGAATCTTTATTCAAAAATTCGATATAAATTTAGATTACAAGCTTCAGGTGTCAACATTGGATCTGCTTTCTGCAGTATTGTTCTGCAATCTATTCGGTTCAATATTAGTGTTACTGTTGTCAGGTTTTTTGCCTGTACTGAACATTAGTTTTTCAATAATCAAAATCGGCGATTCAAATGCAAGTGTACCTATTATTGCCACGAACACAGTTAAACCATAATTTCCAATGAAAGCGTGAAACTGTAAAGATAAATGTTGTATCCAACTTGATTCGTGAATCGAAATATTCTACGAGTAAAAACGTACCGCAGTCAATTCCGTGAAATAAGGTGGTGCTTTCATAGTGCCCATTGTGATCAAAATTACTGGGAAATGCAGTAGATAAATTGAATAGCAAAGTCTGGAAATCGGTTGCCATAATGGATGACCAAGAAACCAATCGACTGGGCCACCATATCCATGAACGCAAGCAAAAATCACTGTGTGATACAACATGAAACGTTCTTATGGCCATATATTTTATAAATTGTTTTATTATGCAGCACAATACCGTAGATTAAAGCGATGGCCCATGCAACACGACTCAAACTATCATAGAGTGCGTAATCTAATGGAACAGATTTCGAACCGATCTGTTGCAGTGGATAATTGACAAAGATTACAGCCACCATCAAAGCTAAAGACAACACCCAAGCAAAAAGGTTGAATATCTAATGGAACAGAATTGGTATGAACTCAAAATAAAAATGTAAAATCATAAATTGAAGTTGACCTACTTGTGGAATTCGAACTGGTCTTTTCCTAGCTTCAACGAAAATAAATCCTGCCATTACACCGATCAGCCAAGGCGAGAATCTGATATGCGTGGGATAATATGCTTTGTCCATTTTCGTAAGCCTGCAAAAGAGAAAGTTTCATTTTATTTTTCTGTTTAATTTGTATGAAATACTTTGCTGCATACATGTTCGTTAAATCAAAATGTAAGTGAACAAAAATGGTCAATCCAATGCACACCAGGACAAGTGCCAATAAAATCGGCATTAATATCATCCTAAGCTTGTACATCAGATAAATAATAACCGGTGAAATTAGGAAAAGTTGCATATCGACGGATAAATACCAAGAATGACCGAAGCACTGAATGAAAAAAAAATTTGATCGAATTAATTAAAGTTCACAGTGAAAATTGATAATCAGCTAACTACACTGACAATATCATTTGGATTAACGTAATTTTGCACATATAATAAAGTTGACCACCAATATTTCTCGCAATTCGTATTTATATTCATTAATTGCGACCAAAGTGGTCCACTTCCAAAGAATCGAAGCAAAGACATCGAAAACAGCACAGAAATGAACAGAAGTGGCGTGAGCCGCAGGTAGCGATGGAAATATAAGAGAGAAATATTTATTCTTCCTTGACTGAAAGGAAAAAAAAAAACATTTATAAAATTGTGAAAAAACCGGAAATATGTTCAGCTCATACGTTTTATCGAGATGTTTCAGCATATTGATTGACACCAAGAGTCCACTCAAAACGAAAAATGTGTCGACCTGAAGAAATGGAAATTGTATGATTGGTTCGAGCCGTCCAGTAATTGTAATAAAATTGGTGTCAACTTACGGCAATCGGTGCGGAAAGGATGATCATATTATGGTATCGCGACATGAACTGAAATTCAAACATTTTAATACAAACTCCAAAAGTGATTGAATAATTGCCCTACCTCAGGTATTAAAGCGGTATTTCTGATTGGTAGCATGCCGTACATGAGAAAAGTGTGACCAAGGACAACCCATTGTGTAGAAATGGCTCGAATTCCATGCAAACAATACATCATGTCCAATGACTTGGTCTTTTTATTGGAAAGCAATTTCAATCCATTTGTAAAGAATGAAAATGCCGAAAGTGCTTGAGATTTGGTGCCTGGATGAAACAAACATCATAATTTGTTCTACCTCTTGAATGATAAGATTATTGATTGTCTTCGAACACGTATAATTACAATTACAATTACACTTACAATTTGTTATAGTACACATCACGTCATAACAGGTGCTCGCTACTACCAGACACAGAACGAATGCCAATAACATACTGGAATTCACAATAGAAAAAATCCAATGACCCAATAAAAAAAATTTACAATTTAAAAACATGACTTATCTGATACTCACATTGTGACTGTGTCAATTGTCCTGAATTCTGAAGCCGTTTCTTCGAATTGGCACGTGTTTTCTGGAAATTTGACGGATATTATGCTACCGTTTTTCAAAATTTTGTCATTGATAATCGGTTCCAATAGATGTAAAGAACAAGTAGCTGGCATACAAGTCCCAAATTTAAACCCAAGTCCATTTGATTGCCTATAAATTAATAAATTTGATAAGTTTGAATTTTATTATTGATTATAATTTTGCATTTACGGTGCGATAGCCATGCGTGGTGTGATCGTTGGATCTTCGGTCTTCCAAACGTTTGGAACGTTAATATTATTCATGTGCGATCTTGGAACTAAAGTTGAAGTGTCCATATTCAAAGCCAATTGTCCCATACAGTACTGCGTTTTATATAGTGTACCATTTCGTTTGATGTTGAGACATTGCGAAAAATCGCCAAATTCGTAGAAATTTCCACTTAAAATACCGCTCGGAATTTTGCCCCATGAATCTAAAACTACACGAAAAAATTAGTGCTTTCAATCAATTTCAATGTAGTTTTCAATTAATTATTTACTTACTTTTCATAGCCCACTCTTCATGGTTCTTTAATCCTTTTTGGATAGCAGCTAATTCTTTGAAACATTTCAAAAGTTGAGTCAATTCGTTCAGGCTATATCCATCTGGCAAGTTCAAAATATCAAAATCACTCTTCAAAAACAGATCACTTTTCATTTGTTCAAACTCGATAAAATTGAGATTTGATTCATTGGTTTGTAGCTTCGCATGATTGAATTTAATACTGATAATAAACAATATTAAAAATGAAAATTCAATTTGGACTTTCGCCATTTTCAGTCAGACACTCTGACGATTTCCACAAACAACTGAGCGAATTTGCAATTGAAATTGAAATTTATACGCTTAAAATGTTCAATTGATGACATGACAACTTTTTATCAGATAAAATTTATTTGTACTGTGATAAGTCTATTGAATTGACTCGGCTACTTTTTCCAGTAGTAAAAAATATCGATTTTGATAATGGTCACTTATCTATATGGTCATATATATGAATCACAGCATTGTATCAGCTTGATCTAGCAATTCAGTAGCTATTGAGAATCAATTGATTCAATGATTCAGATTGGTTGATAAAAAAAACAATAATTCAAAAAAACTTGGGCGCTAATTTACGTCAAAATAATACCATCATAAAAAGAACTGCTCCAACACATCACATACACACACACTGCCAATATTGTACTCGTTTTTACACTGAAGTTTGTAATTGCATGGTTAAAGCTATTTTGTACTATTTTCTATTTGGTCATGATGAACTTCCGGCTGATTTGGTTGATTTTAATGTTGCTCGTTGGCTCGATTCAGCAATGCGATGTATCTTCAACCACTTCGCTTAAATCACGCCAACCAATAACATCTCCTTGTTCTATATTTATCATCTCCGAATAAAGAAAATTCAAATAAAAGTTGAAGTTGTTTTGAGAATTGAATAAGTTCTACAGACTCTGATCACGTTTTAAAAACAGATTTTATTTTTCATTCGTTCAAAGTCGATAAAATTGGAATTTTCATTTTTATTGTTATGTAGCTTTGCATGGTTGAATTTAATACAGATAATAAATAATAATACTAAATATACAAACTTAATTTGGACTTTCGTCATTTTGAAGTAGACACTTTGACGATTTCTACAATCAATTAAGCTAATTTTCAATCGACATTACAATTTATATGCTAAAAATGTTCAATTGATGACCTGACAACTTTGTATCTCATAAAATTAATTTGTACGGCTGGATACGTGATAAGTCAGTCTATTGAATTGGATAGAATATTTGTTTTCGGTGGTCAAAACATCTGTTTATCTCTGTTGTTGTTATATAACAATCGCATTGATGAATCCAAAGCTTCCAAAACTTCTCCGGTATCATCGGAAATGGTTGGTGGAGTTAGAATCGAGTTTGTATCATTCTCCGTTGGTTCATTCTGAACTTCTGGCTGATTTTGTTGATTTTCATGTTGCCCATTTGCGGTATCTGATTCGGCTCGGCAATTCGATGTATCTTTAACCACTTCGCTCGGACCATGGCAACCAAAAGCATCTCCTTGTTCGGTATTTAACATCTCTGAATGAAAAAAAAAATGAGTTAGAAGTTATTCTGGAAATCGAATAAGTTCTGTGTATGCAAACCCGATTGTTTCAATTTCTTGAGAATTTTTATGATTAGGCCTCGATATGGTAAATTCAATGCTGCTAAAACTTCTTCGGTGTCATCAGAAATTGTTGGTGAATTCAGAATCGAGTTTGTATCATTATCCTTTGGTTCATTTGGAATTTCTGACTGATTTTGTTGTTCGTTCTCCGTGTGGGTATCGGGCTTGTTTATTGAACCGAAGATGAATTTCTCGATTATCACAATGGGTGACTCGAATGCTAGAGATGCTATGATCGATACAAAAATAGTGATGACGTAAACCGAAATGGAAACGTTAATCTGCAAGTATTCAATAAAATGGTCATAAGTTTCATTTCGAATAGAGCGGATGCTGAAAGAGTGCACGGATCATTACCGCATTTGATACACTGAAGTACAGTGGGACGTTTAATGCTGACGCAGTAGCCATGATTACTCCAATATGCAACAAATAGATTGAATAGGAGAGTCTTGAGATCGGCTGCAATAACGGATGCGACAAAAATCTGTTGACAACACCTCCGTGATTGTTCACACAGGCGAAAATGATGAAACATATGGCAATCGACCATACAACTCGACTCAACGCATCATATAATCCAAACTGTAGAGGGGATGCCGTAGAATCAAGTTGCATGAGTGGATAATTTGCAAGGATCACAATCAACATCGACACCAAAGATATTGCCCAAGCCAATAGGTTGACCAGCTAAAAGAAAATACCGTTAATTTTACAATAACAAAAGATTAGAGACGAAAAACCAATACACACTTTTGGAATTTGCACTGATTTTTTGCGAGCTTCAACAAAGAAGTATCCGGCAATGACACCAATGAGCCAAGATGAAAATCGAACGTGCGTTGTAATGTATGCTAACCCCAATTTTCCATCCTTCATTCTGCAAAAAAAACATACTTTGATTAATATGCTCTTATTTAAATCGAAAAATTCGTGTTTTCTCTATAAAATTAGACTATTTGCCACACTTACAAAGCCGTAAATTGATAATATTCATGTATTGCAATCGTTCCGCCAACGCAAGCGATGACCAGCATTGAAAGAACATACAATGCTCTGGATTTGAAAAAGTATATCATGTAAACAATGAATGGCGCAACGAAGAATAGTTGCATATCGACAGACAGGTACCAAGTGTGAAGAAGACACTGCAATGAAATGATAATTCAGACAAATGTTCCGGAATTAAAAAGAATGTCGTTGTTTGTTTAAATAAAAAGAATGCTTAGCACTTACCATATCGTCAGGGTAAACATAGTTTTGAATATAAAGCAATGTCGCCCACCAATTTCGTTCACACTGTTCGCTGAAAAATCCCACCATGTAGGGAAAAAGTGGGCCACTTCCAGAGAATCTCGCTAGTGACATGGAAAGTAGAATGGTTACAGCCAAAAGCGGAGTAAGTCGCAGATATCGGTGCAGATACAACCGGAGAATATTCATCTTTCCTTTACTGCGGCGATAAGACATTGTTTTCATTTAACATTAACTTTTTAAACTAATTTTTGAAGATTATATCGGACGCTTTTAAATTATTCCGATTCAAAAAATACCTTTTCTCCAGATATTTCAGCATGTTGATTGACACCAAGATTCCACTGATTGCAAAGAAAGTATCAACACTAACCGGTGCCGAAGCAATGAACATCGCATGATATTTTGTAATGAACTGCAAACACGAAAAGTTTCGATTTCAGATTCAGAGAATTTTATAATTGAATGTCCGAGAATGAAAACGCAACTTCTATTCACAACACATATAAGTGAAACAAAAATAAAAAATTTATTGAAATGAAACAACATCGAATTTTTTCAAAGTGTAACAACAAAAAAGATTTTTTTAAAGTGTAACATCGGTATGTTGTTACACTTACTACATACCGATGTTACACTTTAAAAAAATCTTTTTTGTTGTTACACTTTGAAAAAATTCGATTTTGTTGTTTCATTTCAATAAATTTTTTATTTTTGTTTCACTTATATGTGTTGTGAATAGAAGTTGCGTTTTCATTCTCGGACATTCAATTAATCTTATTTTACTATTTAAAATTATGTTCAATTGGAACAAAAAACATATGCGCCATTTACCGTGGGAATTGCAATTAAATTTTGATTCGGGAGCATTATAAACATGAGAAATGTATGACCGATAACCACCCATAGTGTTGTAATAACACGTATCCCATGCAAACAGCTCAACATGTTCGGCGAATTGGATTCTTTGTAGGAAAGTAGCTTTTGTCCATTCGTATAAAAAGAAAATGCCAAGAGTACTCGAGATTTTTCGCCTAGAATCATACGATTATAATGAATTGTGAATTATTTATGGAATGAAAATCAGCTGATATGGTATGAGTAGAAAAACTTACGATTTTTGCTGGTGTAAAGGATATCGTAACTGGTACTCGTCGCAATCAAACAGAAGATTATTCCCAGAAAAACACTTTGAATGAAAAAAAAAAAAACAAAATAGTTAAGATTGGATTCAATATCAAATGAATGCATCACTTACATTGCAGCCGTGTCCAAAGTGCTCAATTCAGAAGGGCTTTCTTCCAGCTGGCAAGTGTTTGTGTTAAAACTGATCGACACATTTTTCGTTTTGGCATGGATTAATTTGTTGATGATGGGCTCCAACATGTTCAGAGAACAAGCAGCCGGAACACAGACTCCAAATGTAAATCCTGGACCACCGTCAAATCTAATTGTTTGTCATGAAAAATTGAATTGATTTTTTTCATCAAATTTAATATGATTTTTTTAGTTTTCAATGGCATTCACAGGATGGTTGTTGACTTAAATTAACTCAATTTTTCACTCGTGAGTGTTATAAATTAATAGGTACTTACTTTGGCACGGCACCGCGTATATTTCGTACTTCCAACAAGTCTGGAGCGCCCAGAATTTGTTTTATGTGTTGATTTGGTTTTTGTTGAAGCCAGCCTTCCACGTCAAACGATAAATGCCCCAAACAATACTGCGATCTATACAGTTCACCATTCCGCTTGATACTGAAACATTGTGAAAATTCGCCAAAGTCATGAAAATTCCCACTGAATAATCCCGATGGAAATTTTCCCCATGCATCCAACACTGAATGTGAAAAAGAACAAACATGAATTAAAACAAGGTAAAACATTCACTTGAACCAATAAATCAAAAGTCAATTTACGTTTCAATGCCCATTCTTCGGAATTCATCAATGCATTCGCAACTGTTTCCAACTCCGTGACACATTCTCTATCGTTTAATGCGCTAAAATCGCCTTTGGTGAATAAATCATTTTTGATGTACTCAAAATTCAATAAACTAAAATCGCTTCTGTTGAATGCTGATCGCAAATCATTATATTTGAAAACAATTACAAGTATTATTAAATAAAAAGACTTTAAAAAGACACCATTGATTTGTGCCATTTTTTAAAACAATTTTTGCAGGTTAAGTTCGGTTTTTGGTGCACTTTTTTCATCAACGAATGATCACACAACAAAATGAATTTTCTTACGATTTTATCAAGCAATTTATAGAGAAAATTTCAAATCGATAACGTTGGGACCGAAAACTATCACACAAATTACCCAACTAAACACACATTTTTAAAGATGCACAAAAACTTGATTGTGATTTCAACTGACAGTGTGTCTCTGTTTACGCGCCATTGTCACAATCAATAGAAATCGGTATCGCTCTATTTTGCCATCTCATTTAACAAACGCAATGATTGGAGTGTATTTGCATGTGCATGGCTCTGTTTGAATTGCCCCATTGACAGATGAACTGTCAAATGCTAAATTGTATACTGTCAAATGGATTGCCGGATTTGTTTATATTATTCGGATTAAATTAAAAGGTTTTTGGTTTACGAATGAACCTATTGTATAAACATGAATGTAAACACATAACATATAGTCTTTTGAGATGTATAATCACTTGAATTTGTTCAGCTCGGCAATTTTTCGTGGTTCATTTTGTTTGTGTCAGATTCTGTTTGGTTGAACGTACTTTGTTCAAACGACGAATAATAGTTTTGTTATCATTTCTGCCGATTCGTATTGCATTAGATCTGGTTGACACATTGCATCGGAAGCATGAGACAGCAAAAATAAATGATATTCTCATTATTGACCTCAAAAATTGAAAAATACTTGCAATTCATGAACAATTTGGTTTGAAAAATATTTATTATTCTTTATTGTTTCAGAAGATCAAAGATCACGAAGTTTGATGATGAATATGTTGCAGTTGCATCTCATAAATCATTCGATTTTTAACTCGATCTATTCTTGAATGGCTTTGGTGTTTAAGGAATTTTCTGCTTATTTTTCTAATCCCAAGGCTGTCAAATAATGTAGCAAAAACCGAAACGTTTAAAAGATAAAACTATGTCGATATTGAAAGAGAAATCGAATCTATATTCTTTTGATGAAATCATTTCAATGGTTTTCTTTTCTTCATGAGTTTTTTCCATGAAATAACATATAATGAGATTAGTAATGAAAAATAAAGTGTTTACCAAATGATTACGTGCTTTGTACTTCCAAAACATGCAAAAAGTCTATGAACGGGCGCTATTTCGTCTTATTGACACATTTTTCTCTTTGAACATTTTCTTCATCGCAGATGTTTCTATTATTTTCATAGAATATTACGTTACTAACAAAAAAAAATTGTATTATTGTATCTTGAACTAATAATGCGTAATTATTATGAAAAAAAGGACAAGACGATAGAATTCATTAACGTAATTTGCAAACTCAATAATTTAGAATTTCAATTAGATCGGAATTTGGTGCGGGGATTCATCGTAAATAATTATCCTGAGAATTGACATAAGTTGATTAAATACTTATCCTGATATTCCATAATTATTTGCAACTACATTAACCGATGTGAATGGAATTGTAATTGAAATGCGTGTAATTTAATAAATTCAAAAAGATCTTGATTTTTAATGAGGTGTACAATGTAATGTGCCCATTCTTTTCCAAGTTCATTTTATGTAGAAAATTTTCTTACTGTCAGCCTCACTTGGTAGACAAAAAAATGAATAAAAATTGACAATAAATTGTACATTGTTCATCAAAATTGTCTTACAATGTACTGTTTTGTATGCAATTCATTGCAATTTGGAAGAAATCCACCAGAGTCTTTCATCTCACTTCTTCCACTTATTCAATGCATTCGAGCTGTTTGTTTTTCACACATGTCATCTTGTATGAATGTTCATTATTACTTTATTCGATAAAATCCAAGAAAATGATTATTTTACGCATAAAATACAATGATACATCGTTCACGTTCAGCTGAGAAATATTATAATATGTATTTGATAATAAGAAGAATATAAAAATGTCAAAATCAATTCCAATTACATATTATTCATTGTGTTTTTTTAATAGTTTGATTAATATTTCAGTTTGATTTGGTTTAAATCTATTCTGTTTACAGCCATTTGGTTTGGTTCCATTTCGTTCAGATCCATTTTGTTTGTCTTTAGTATCAACATCCAGTTGGGGTTCAGCCACTTTCCGGGAAAGTAGTTTTTCAATCATCAATACAGGCCTTTCAAAACAAAACAAAAGTTGAATTCGAATTAAATTCATTCGATGTAATTTTTGTGTTTTTGATATTCGTGGTCGCTATCACTTGACCAAGAGCTCCATTTACTTTACCTTTCGAAAGCAAGGGTTGCAACTATTGATACAAAAATCGAAATGATATAATTTCCAAAGAAAGCGTGAGCCTGTGAATTTAGATGGAACATGGCATAAAAACATGAAACATATTTTAAACAAGGAAATAACTCACAGCGTTCACTTCACTAAAATACAACGGAGATTTCATTGAAGCCATTGTTAACCAGATGACTGGCAAATGCAACAAGTAGACTGAATATGAAAGCCTTGAAATCAGCTGAAAAAATGGATGAGCCAAGAACCAGTTGACCGGCCCTCCATATCCATGGCAGCAAGCAAAAATGATAAAACACAAAGAACACGCCCAAATGACGCGACTCAAACCTTCAAACAGTCCAAAATCAAACGGAGACAATTTTGAGTCAAGTTGTTGAAATTGATAACTCCCAAAGATGATGATGAACATTGAAGCTAAAGAAAGTGTCCACGCAAATAGATTGAGCATCTGAAACATGAAAAAGACAATTGTAACAAAGAGAAAACGAAAAAATACTCTGAAAAATGCATCACATGTTACCTTGGTAATACGAAACGGTTTCTTTTCCGCAATAAAGAAGAAATAACCTGCGATCACGCCAACCATCCATGGGGAATAGCGAATATGGAGCGCATAATAGGCTTTTTCTAGTTTACCTTTCGAAAACCTGTGGAAATAATTTCAGATTTAAATGTACAATGCTAAATTCGCCGAGGAATGATATAAATTGGTTTATTCACACAAAGAGAAAACTACTTACATGGTCGTAAAACCATATTTCAAATGCACCATCAACGTGCAGCCAATGCAACAGAGAACTAAGGCGGATAAAATATACAATGCTTTCGCTTTGTATCGATAAACCGAATAAATGATGGCCGGTGCAAGTAAATAGAGCTGCATGTCAAGTGATAGCGACCACGAATGTCGAAAACACTAAAACAACATCGAATGAGTTAAAATTCCGAGTCCAAATGGTGATTTAAATGAAGGAAACACACACCATGTCATTTTGATTGACAAAATTCTGAATGTACAACAGTGTTGACCACCAATAGCGCTCACATTCGCCGTGAAAGAAGTGAAGCATAGTAGGCCAAAATGGTCCACTCCCAAAAAATCGCATCAACGACATGGAAAAGAGAAATGATGCGCCCAGAAGCGGTGTCAATCGTATGAAACGATGCAAGTACAGCTGTAGAAGGTTCAATCTCTCTTTTCTGCGAAGGAAAATATCGTTTTCATTGTTTTTTTTTTGCGAATGATTTCGAATACATAGCTCAATTTTCACGTGGAGAGCAAACAATTACCTTTCAAAATATTTCAACATTTTTATTGAAACCAAAAGTCCACTTAACGTAAAGAAATTGTCAACCTTGAAACAGAAGCAATTTGTGAATAAAATTTGTCAAAAGAAAAATTTAATCCTAATTACCGGGACCCCAGCAAGAATGAACATATTGTGATATTTTAAGAAGAACTGAAAATCAACGAATTTGGTTTTGAATTTATTTGCTTTGATCAATAGATAAGTTATAGTATTTTTACCTTTTGAATATCCGATTTATTGCTAACTGGTAACCATAAATACATTAGATATGTGTGCCCAAGTACAATCCATTGCGTTGATATTGCTCGAATCCCATTCATACAAGCCATCGCATTTGGTGATTGGATTTTTTGGATGGAAATCAATTCCATTCCGTTCGTGTAGAGAGAAAAGACCAAGAGTACTCGAGATTTTTCACCTGAAGTCATGAAACAATATAATCGATGTGTTTTAAGAGAATATGAGCTGAAAATAACTTACGATTGATCACGCTGTATAAAATGTCATAGCCTGTGCTTAGTAGTATCAGACATGAAATCACTCCCAGCAGTGTACTTGTTAGTGGAAAATTTATTTAATTTAAAATTAGATTTTTGTCCAAACAAACCAATTCAAATAGGTAGGTATAAATAATTAATCTTACATCATCGCTTTATCTATTTTTCTCAATTTTGATGGATATTCCTCGAATTGGCAACTATTTTTGGAAATTTTCACTGAAACATCGGTCATTTTCCCCCGAATAACTTCATTGATAATAATATCCAAAGCGTCTACAGAACAACTGGCCGGAAAGCAAGTTCCAAGTATTACACCTGGCTCATGCCCAAATCTGGACGAATTGCAGAAAAAAATTCAATTCGATTTAAACTGTTAAAACTGACAAAGATTCGAAGAATTGGAAAAATTAAACTCACTCTGGCTGAGCCGTGCTCATAACTTTAGGCACATTCATATGGCTTAAGGTGTATTCAAACGAAATTGGCGCTGAAATAAAATCTTCGAGATCAAAAATTACGTGTGCCATACAGTATTGTGTTCTATAAACTTCCTCATTGCGTTCGATGTGAAGACACTGTGAAAATGCGCCCAAATCGTAAAGATTTCCATTTAAAATGCCCGATGGCATTTTGCCCCATGCATCTACGACTGTAAAATACACACGGAATTGAAGCAACATTAATTTGCATTTGACAGATTCGATTTTACTTCTCGTTGCCCACTGCTCCGAGTTAATCAATCCGTTTTTAATTGAATTCAATTCATTTAAGCACTGAAGAAGCTCAACACCGTTTTGATAGCTGTATTCGCTGCTCTTATTTAGAACATTGGAATGAGTATCGAAGAATAGGTCGTTTTTTATTTGATCAAAGTTTGGGAAGTCGTCTTGTTTCTTCTTTTTCAAACTAGCATTAATGCACTCAAACGAGATCACAAAAATGATTAAACAAAAGAACTTTGATGAAACATCGCTTAATTTAGCCATTTTCAAGCAAATTTAAACTCTTTACACCAACACTGCACAAACCAAATTGAACGAGTTCGCCGTTTGGATGTGCAATTTATACAAACGCGAGTCTGGGAACGAAACCATTAATGGTGGTAATACTCTTTGTCATACCGTCATCACTTTAACTATTAATTTGTTTTTGTTCAAGTAATAATGTGATTTAACAACATAAATGGATGATTCAAAGAAGAAAATGACTTCATTTAGATTTTGCGGCGTCTGGAGTAGAGAATTTCAATTTGAATTGTCATGAATCTGTTGCACGTGCGTCGTAAATTCTATCGAACTCCACCGAATTACGAGTAAGTTTGCTCAGCTTTATTTTTATCTGCACTCAATCATGGCTGAAACGTAGACAAACCATTTTTGTTGAGTCAGAAATCGCCAATTCAAGAAATGTGACAACTAGTAGGGAAATGATTTAAAGCTGTTTTGATGGAGATTTGTACTGAAGGTGAACAGTCGAACTGTTTACGAGTTAGGTGAGAGAATTAAATGGTAGACAATATATTTAACGCGTGCAAATCTAGCTAAAGTTACCTACAGACAATTGCACTCTTTACGGTCACCATCCGGAATATGGCCCTTATAAAATACTATGAAGACATTTTATAAATAATTCTGTCTGCGAGTAAAAATGTAAAACATGATGTGTATTTTAAAAATCTTGGTTTATATTTATTCATAACTATTATGACTTATCGAGTCAGAATTGAATAAAACCACTAAATACTACTTGAATAATCGTGTAATTCTTTTTTCTTCAAAATCAACCAAATCAACCTTTGTGATTGTTTCTCAGGCGGTTGTTCTATCCTTTGGCTGCCGCTTTGCTGGAAGTGAAATTCTCAATATATGTGGCTCTAGTGCGTAGACGGGACTCTCGAACATGAGGAAGAACACCAAACCGACCAACACGCTTAGGCCATAATT